TACTCTCTTTCTCTCACTTAAGATGGCTTTAAGAAACTCAAATATAAGTTTCTTGTTGAAGGTAGGGCTTAAAATATTCCAAATTAATATTACTAAATACTTACTAAAAATGAGGACCACTGGGCTTTCTCAATGCATGGAAATATACAATACACAATGTTAAATTAAAATATTACACGAGACTATACATTTGCCAATTATGACATAAAAACACATTTATAGTATTGATAAAATCAGGAGAAAATTTGAAGCAATGCAATATTTGACTTAATACTCATTGACTTTCTGATGCTCTCTACAAATTTGGAAAATTTTTCTTGGTAAATATTAAGTCTTTCCACATATGTACATTTAAGGTACATTTAAGATTAGTTTCCTGAGAATATAAATGCTCAAGAGGAGGAAGCAGGAGTTGATGAGGGAGACCTTAATTTGCATTTTTCCTGCCTTAAATGCCTGAAATATCTTGGGTATAATGTTGTGTGAATAAGGCTTTTAGTGTTTAATGTGATGTGACTTAAACATTCTCTTTTTGCTAGGGTCTATAAAACATTTGCTATTAATGGCTGTTACTTCTCATTTTTATCTACCAAATTTACTAAGGAAGAAAAAATATGTCAAGGCTTCCAGTTGTCTGCTCAAATCTTTTCTCTGATCTGGCAATAAACTTCACTCCTCTTAAACCTGGGACAATCTACTTAGAAAGGGACACTAGGTGATCTGTCCTAAATATGATGCTTTACATAGTGTGGGGCTTCTACTTGTCAACCTGCTTTTGTCACTGTCTTTTGGTCTTCCTAACAGTCCTGTTGAAGTAGATAGGGTAATATTCCACAGCTGTCAGAGGTACTCAAACTGAGACACTCGTAAAGCTACATCTTCCCTGATTTTGCACAGCTAAGAGTAGTAAAACCTCACCGTAACGCCGTAAGTGAAGTCTAAAACATTTAACCAGGAAAACACAGATTTGCATTGTTTCAAGGTTAATCAAATAAACAGGATGAACCCATGCAGCTGACCTTCCTGGGACTTCCAGGCCTCCAGCTGCGGGATACAGACCCACCCTGGTCCCAGCTGTGATTCAGCACCAGCCGCTGTCCACTCCAGCTGATGGGGATGATTCCAGGGCTGGTTGGGGCTTCTTGGAGAGTCCAGAATTCTCCTAGGTAGCTGAGACCCATTTCTTTAGGTTGATCCAGAGATACTGAGCTAGGAGGACACTGGGACATGGAGATCCTACTTCCTAAGACAGAGTTGCAGGCCATTTCCTCACCAGTCCTACCTCTCCCTCAACATCTCCTCTTCCCCCATCTGGGAGATACGAATTTTATCACCCACCCCTGATTGAGAGTGGGGGCTGGATGGAGTATAGAATCCATCTCTAATGTGTCATATCCAAACCATGGAGTTGTACTGTATTTGTAGAGCCACGGGTAAAAGTCAGATCTCCTGATTCCTAGAGCAAAACCTTTTCCCTACTTTGCTGGCAACTTCAGAATGACCATCCCTTCCATATTATTCCAGACTGCAGCGAGTATCAGACACACCTCCTATGCCAGCAGAGTTCTTGTCTAACTCCTTCCTGTGAAAGGGAAGGCAGGCGCATCCAGAGTCCCATACCCACTTTCCCAAATCTGGGGTTATCATTGTGCAGATGACTGAGAAAAAGGTGAGAGAGTGGTGTGGGGGAGTACTGTATCATTCTTTTAACTTTTAACATGCTTTACAGGTTGCTAACTGACTTAACAGAGCTCATAAATTCTGCCTACATCTCACAAGCCACTTGCTTACTCACTATCTCGACTTAGCACTTCTTATGAGTTTCATCATTCTATTTGTCTTTCTTGTCTTCTCTAGAAGAATTGAATGTTCTCAAATCCTACAGCAAACACTCATTATCAACAGAAAGACCTAGGGGAAAAAAATAAGATAAAAAAAAAAACAGAGAAGATGTTTGATTTTTAATGGCAGGAGAAATAGAAACCAAAACAGAGGGTAGCTGAGTCACAGTAATGGTGGAACTTTGAGCAGAAAGTAGTGGGTGCCTCCTGCTAAGCGGTGAGGAAGTACCAGTCACTAGAACTGAAGGGTCCTCTGAGACTTATTGGGAACCTCCTTTCCATGGGTTTGTTTCTGCTCCTTTGTATTAATTGTAAATCATTATTAATACAGATGTATCCCAAGAAGCCATCCTCCCCGACAACCCTCCTTCCACTTCCAGCCCCCACTGTGCTGGAAATCACACTTGGGATAAGAATAAGGATGAAGATTTTGGGATTGGCTTGTGGAAGAAGGAGGTGATTGAGAAAAGGGGAGTGGAGGAAACTCACCGAGCCGTGGAAAATAGTACCAGGCACCAGGGGATAAGTGCTATGTGTGAGCATATTTGTTTGTGATATGACTTCTTTTGAGGAGTAAATCAACATAGTAGAAGGGTTCATATCTTGACTCCCTGAATAATAAGAACTACAAGTAATTGTCCAGTTCAGGCCTTGTCATACATTCCTAGGGCTGCCATAACAAAGTACCACAAACTGCGTGGCTTAAAACAACAGAAATTTGTTGCCTCACAATTCTGGAAGCTACAAGTTCGAGTTCAAGAGGTGGGCAGAATGGTTCCCCCTGAGGGGTCTCAGAGGAAATCTGTTCCATGCCTTCCAGCTTCTGGTGACCACTGGCAATCCTTGGTGTTCCTTGGCTTGTAGAAGCCTCACTCCGATCTCTACCTTCTTTATCACTTGACCCTCCGCCTCTGTCTGTGTTTCTGTGCCTCTCTTTCCTCTTCTAAGGACCCCGGTCATATTGGCTTAGGCACCCCCTCTACTCCAGTGCGACATCATCTTAACTAATTACATCTGCATGTTCTGAGGTGCTGAGAGTTAGGCCTTCAGCATATCTTTTTGAGTACACAATTCAACCAATAACAGTCCACAACTGAGAAATGTAAATTTTATTTTATTTATTTTGAGTCCTCACTCTCTATCATTCTGACAGTAGGAAAAGTACTTGAGTTTTGACTTTTTCCGAGTTTAGAGAATCCTGGCAGATTCCACTATATGTACATGACTCAGTGTTACCAGTGGGTGTCTCTCAATAATTCTCCCTTGAGTGGAGGTGATAGAGGACTTTCATGTCTATACTGTAAATCACTATACTGTTTGAATTTTTGTAACAAACATGGGCGACTTTGTAGTCAGAGGAAACAATAAAGATACATTGTCAAGTGGTTAGTGAGAGAAAGGTGTGGCTTTTCCTTCCCTGGCAGGCTCCAGCTTCAGATTCTCTTTAGGAGGCAGGCTGGGGATCATCACGGGGGAGGAAGTGAGCAGGGAACAAGGCCATACGCCATTTGAAAACTCGTATTCAATGCGACAATTGCTTTGATGTGATCTATCTTTAGACATTACCTTTAATTAATTTATTTATTTTAAAATAACATTAAAGGAGGACTCGAGGTTTTCATGTTCATCCAAAGGGGCCAGGGGTTGTCAGTGTTGAGAAACACAGGGGCACATGGAGGAGATCACACTCTGCACCTGAGATAAACTGCTTCCTGCAGCCAGGCTTTGAGGTTCCCTGTCAGCCAAGGCAAAAAGGGAACATTGGCTTTCAGAGTTTTTATCCAAATGGGGATTCCCAGGTAAAATACAGGACAGCCAGTTAAATATGAATTTCAGATAAACAATGAATAGTTTTTAGTGTTAAGTGTGTTCCAAACATTGTATGAGACATACTTAAACTAAAAATTATTCCTTGTTTACCTGAAATTCAATTCTTTTCATATTTATTTTTTAACTGTGGTAAAATACACATAACATAAAATTTACCACCCTACCCATTTTTAAATGTACAGTTCAGTAGCACTAAGTATATTCACATTGTTGTGCAACCAATCTCCAGAAGTTTTTCATCTTGCAAAACTGAAACTCTACACCCATTAAACAGCAATTCCTTGTTCTCCCCTCCCCCCAGCCCCTGGCAACCACCTTCTTATTTTCTGTTTCTATGAGTTTGTCAACACTACTCATTTAAGTGAAATCATCCAGTATTTTTCTTTTTTGTGACTGGCTTATTTCACTTAGCATGATGTCCTTTATCCATGTTGTAGCATGTATCATGATTTCCTTCCTTTTTAAGGCTGAATAATATTCTATTGTATGTATATACCACATTTTGTTTATTGAAACTCAAATTTATCAAGGCATCCTTTATTTTTATTTGCTAAATCTGGCAATCTTATTCCAAACACATTAGTCTAGATAAGCTTTATCTAGAAATTAGACCAAAGGAAGGGTTTATCCCAGAGGTCATTTATAAAAGGAGCGATAAGGGTACGTAAGTCGCAACATTTTTCTTTTGTGATTTGGCACAAGCCATAGAAATGCAGTTCAGATGAATCCTAATTTTGTTAACACTTCGCGTCAGCAGTTCTTGAACCAGAGTGTGTGCAAGAGTTTCAGGGGGTCTGTGAACCCCTTGAAATCATAGGCCATATTTGAGTATACATGCATTATTGTGAGGAAAGAAAATATAATTAGATTTTTAAAGGTGCCTGAGACCGCTAAGGAGGTCAGGATGCACCATGTTATTGACTAAGGGCACAGCTTTGAACTTAGGGAAGGCATTTCAAGCAATTGATTTTGTGAATACCTAAACTAAAATATGGAGAAAATCGCAGTGAATTTGAAAGACTGGAAAGCTTACCCATCTACTGAAGCGTCCCTTTCAAATGAGGAATGAGTATGAGCTGTCATGCTTTTTGCGTCTTTCACAGAAGCTGAATGGAAGCCAGTTCATGAGTGCTGCTGATCTTTGTGAATTTTCTGACAAGGGTGAAAGCTAAGAGGGCTATGCTTTAAATGCCAAAGGCGTTTTAAGAGAGAGATTAAGAAAGAGAATGAGAGAGACAGACAGAGAACAATACCTAGGCAAAGGATGATCTTACCTCATGTAGAAAACAAATGACAATTTTGATAAATAGCACTTTATTTTTTCTTTAGAAATCCTTCGTTAATTTACCAACAGCTATTACGGATGAGCTCAACTGGCCCCAACTCTCTGGCATTACTGGATTCCTGAACTCCACTAGTGGGTATGTATGTTTGCACATCCTCAAACATTTCAATATTTCTCTGTAAGAAAAGAACAGGAGATGGGGCTTGCTCCAAAGACATTGAAATGAGAATTGTTAGGAATTGCTTAGAGAACATGAGTAACATACAGCAAACTCACTACTAACACAGAGTCCATGATGCAGTGGGATATAATGCAAACTGTATTTTATCAGTGCTGCCAGGGAGGGAGTATTCTTGCTGCAGGGCCCCTAGAGTTGACCTCTGATAGAAAATACTCAAACACATCACTGAATTTTTCTGATTCAAGGGACGAAGAAATTTAGTAATTGTTTACTCTCAGAAAGTAATATTTACAAAGGTAATGGCTAAAATTAATTGCCAAGTCTCAAGGTCCTGGAATCATTCTGGCTTTAATGCTGTGGATTTGAAGGCAGAGACAATGCGTGGCGCATCTGAGTGACATACAAACGTAATTTGCTGTGTGTGATTGGGTGTTGGCTCAGGGCTTGGGAACAGCCATTTCTAGTTTTAGCACCTCATATTTGTAATTTATTCAAGGACATTGCATACCATGAATAATTTATTTGATTATCTTCTTTACTCGTTCATTTAAAAAATACTTATTGAATCTTACCACCTAATCAGGTAAAGTTGCTATAGATCCTATAGATTTAAAGGTACATAAGGCTTGTCCCATCTCTGCAGTCAGTTACAATCAAGTAAGGCAGATGAGACAAATGTACAAATAATGATAATATAAGATAGATGTGCCAGAAGACAACTCTCAACCCAGAACTGCAGAGTTCATTGGAGGAAGAATTCATGGAGATGGTCAATAGCCACCTCCTTTTGGGGTGTTAGGCGAGGGGCCCAAACTCTAAAGGATTTAGGAGATTGGGGTGATTAAAGAGGTAGAGAAGAAGCTTGGAAGATAACCAACCTTCAGGAAATCATACTCATGTTTATGCAGGAATCATTTGTGAATATAAGGAGATGCGTTTTCAAGTTCAGGTGTAGATTTTCAAGTTTAATCATGTGAAAAATATTAAGCTCATCCTGTCATTAGTAAAACAATACTAACAGTGTCAATAACAGAGATAGTGACAGGTCACCTTCAAGAGGCATTCTCTATATGCCAAGCACAGCACCCAGTGTTATATGTGCAGATTTTCTCATTTCATCTCCTTGCAAGGTAGGTGGTATTATTTTCTGCATTTCACGGTTGAGGAATCTAAGGGTTAATTAGATAGTTAAGAAACTTGAGTAAGGTCACACATTAATAAGAAGTGGTGGCATCTGTCATCATGGAACCTTGTGTCATATTGCACCAGAGAGTAATTTGGTAAACAAGGGCCCTCCTAGACCACAACTCCCAATGCGTATATGCTGTTTTTATTCCACCTGGCTCTACCTGGAACATGGCTCCATTTAGCCATTGTCCCTTTGTTTGAGAGTATAACTATGCGATGGGGAAATGACTAAGAACCAATGAAGCCCTCCCCGTGTGGAGATGTGGCATGTATTGTTTCAGATGTCGATCATGTGCCTAGTATTCTTTCCTATGGTCCCCAAACTCCCAGCAGTCAGGGGCCCTTTGAGTCCCCTCCTCAGCCCCTCTTTCCTCAGCTGCAGTTGCTATTGCCTTTGTCACCTGGAACATGTCCAGAGATAGCCTGGCTAAAGCAGCTTTCCAGAAGAGTCTTGTTTATCTCCCCCCTGTCAACATTGGAATTGAGAAAATAATATTTAGGTGCCCTCCACCCAGTCCAGCTATCTAAGTATAAAAATACCTGGAAATTTCTCTCAATCCAGGCTTTTATGACAATAACAAAAAGAATTAGTTATGAACACAAAGTGGACACAGTTTACTGTTTTAATGGAAGCTTAAATTTACAGATGAATCCTATAAAACTCAGCCACCTTTCTACCTAAAGCCTCATTAAGTTGCCTTAGAGAAAAGACCATTCTGATGTTTAAAATGAATTGCCAAATAGTTTAAATCTTCACTGGAGTCACACAAAGAAAGAAAGAGGAATCCATCCAGCAGGCCCAGATAAACTGGTGAAAACTTGCTTCCTCATCTCTTTCCACTTACAGCTGACACTCACCAATAATTGTCCCACATCTCCTAAATCGAAAACTAGAGTCTCCCAAGAACTCCACCCCAGTTTAGCTCCTGCTCCCAAGCAGACTCTGTTCACTTGTTTTTAGGTTTTTTTTGGTGGGTATAAGGGCAAGCCAGTGTCCCTCCTCCTTTCTGCATCTGTTCTGTCCTCAGATCAGGGGGTTACTCTCTCATCAATGTGAAATCTCACCAGCCCTCCAATCCTATAGACGTTTCCACCCATCATCCTATGAGAGCCCAGCAGGCAGGCAGATCTGCCTTAGAAGAAACGCAGTGGGCTGAGAGGAAAAGGAAAAGTTGGGAGTCTTCAGACACAAGTGGTTTATAATTCTTATAAGGGCTATGCAGAGAGATTCTGACATAAGGATCTATGATCTCTGTCTAAGGAGGTGCGCACTGCAGCTGGCCGTTCACCTCCCCTGCACGGGCTTCTCTCTCTATACATCTGGTTTCCTCTCTCAGAGTGCTCTTGTTGCCACCTGTTTCTGTGTGTGGGGCCTGTGTTCTCTGCCACTCAGCTGGAATGGGAAGAAAATATTCAACTCCTTTTGACAGAAAGAGAAATTCTCTGTCTGGAATCTGAGTTGCAATGGATGCCCCCATTAAGCAGGAACGTAGCAGCACGACACTCCTTGTGTGTCACTATTTAGTATGTTCCTCATAGCAGTAGCTCCTGTTAAACTGTCTCATATACTTTCACGTAAACTATACCTGCAGATAATCTATGCTACGCCAATCTCCTCCTTAAAGGCATAGAGAGTTATAAAGTGTGTAAAAGATGATTAAAGAGAGATTAGCATATGATGGAGGTCCTTTTCTGGTGGAGTCAGGAAAAAGAAAAGAATATTGACCTAGAAGGAGCATTTATGCAAGATATGGGCAGCTTCCACAGGCATTTTGAGCAAATGTCACTTTGAGTCCAAATGCTTATCAAGATGGGCTGGAATTTATGAATTTCTCCATTCAACTGAATCTCTAGAATGTGCTTCTTATTATCTGTGACCAGCCTCAAGCTTTGGGTATTAACAGTGTTCCTCAGAAAATCTACCTCTGAAAGCAAAAAGATGCAGTTTGGGAAAGAAGATGGTTGCTTTCCTCTCCTTCTTCCATTATATACTTCACTCCCTCAAAATCTAGTATCTCCTCTGTGAAATGGATGGAACTCTAACTGAAATTATGTGCGTGCCTTACAAGACAAACATAACCCCTTAGTTTTAAGAATCTTTGCGTCTTTCAGTTGAGTTGACATTAACAAAATCTGTTCTCTTGACTCTCGGGCTCCAGAAAATTCAAAAGGCAGTATCTCTTAAAACTCAGACAGCAATTGAGTGGGTCAAAGGCAAAAAGAAAAAAAACCTCCATGAGGTTGGTAGCTTAGGGGCTGGGAGCCTGGCCATAGGGAGAACTATACCTGAACGTGGGAGGAAAAAAGTATTTTTAAAAGATTAAAAATAGCACTTCGTGTTCAGATCACCTTCAAAACAATTTAATGGAACAGGAAAATCCTATTTAAGTTTAAAAAGCCAAGGCCCAGTAACACATGTAGAGGAATGGGAAACAATACCAAAACTTCAGGAAGGAAGGACTTCTTGTTTAAAAGCAATATCTAAAATTTGAGCGCCCCATGAGTCAGTGTGGTGGAGTAGGAGACTGTGTTTGCAGGTAGAAGGGTCCTGGTTCTCTGCAACCCGCAGTGGAACATTTAGCATCCCTGGACCTCATTTATATGATGGAGTTGAGTGGCTCCAGGCGATCTCTGAAGTTCTCTCCAATGTTCAAGTTTAGTGGTTGTAGGGAGACATGATGTTAAGTCCACATCCACATTATGATGCTACTTGATTTAGAAGCATAGGAGGAAACTGTTGGGGAGAGATGCCCCTGCTTCTCCCCACCAAATATGCTTTTCTCCACCCCTTAACTAGCTGTGTCTTGAGATAAGACATGGCTAATTTTATGGGTCAGATCCTGAAACGTTCTAGGAACCATGGTTCACCAGGGCCAGAGTTACAGTGCAATAAAGGTCAAGCTCGTGCATAGTAAGCCCCGCATTGTGTGATATGGGTGCTTGACAAGCTATCCATTAAAATGGTACGCTGGTATTGTCCTCTATGTGTTACTGCTTCCTCCAAGAAAACCCCAGAGAGGGAAACAGGTGACTCCAAATCCTTAACAAAAATCACCACCTGAACCCAACCGCATCTTACCTGAGCCTTTATGGTTGTCATCCCCTTCTTCTTAAAGGGGAGCCAGGAGTCGGTCCAGTCAATGGAGTTCTGCAGGCTGGGGCTAAATAATAGAGAGCTTCTTCAAGGCTCGGGGGCTGGGAGGAAAAACAGGGCAGCAATTATAGCTTTAAAAAAAAGTAAGTAACGGGGCCAGCCCCGTGGCCGAGTGGTTAAGTTCGCACTCTCCGCTGCAGCGGCCCAGGGTTCAGATCCTGGGCACGGACATGGCACTGCTCGTCAGGTCACATTGAGGCGGCATCCCACGTGCCACAACTAGAATGACCCTCACCTAAGATATACAACTATGTTGTGGGGGGTTTGGGGCGATAAAGCAGGAAAAAAAAAAAAAGATTGGCAACAGTTGTTAGCTCAGGTGCCAATCTTTACAAAAAAAAGTAAGTAAGAAGCTGAAGTTAGCCACAAAAGATAATGAAAGCCAAAAGACCCAAAAGCAATTATCAAAGTTACCATATCAAGCTGGAGAGAGAAGAGTGAGATGAGGTCAACATAAGTGGGCACAAACTGGATGGAATTTTCTGGAGTAAATGTTGCTCCCTGTGCCTCTGGCTTAAATTTGCTATATTGGGCCAGAGATGTAGCAAACCCTTAGAAACGAATAGATAAAGCCATTGTTACAAGAGGCACAGTCATACTATTCAAGGACATTTAAACACACGTCTTTGTTTGGTGAGAAGTGTCCTAGAATCAAAGGTTGAAAGGTTATCTATCCTCTCCCACCCAATAGACATTATAAGAGAGAACAATTTTGCAAAGCAGTGTATAACTCCAAACCGTGTCACCTGGGGCATTAAAACAGAAAATTAGAGAGAAGGGCTTTGCAGCTAAGATTTGCTAACCTAATTTCATGTTTAAAAAAAAAGATATGTAAGTTCTAAACACTAATGGGCTTAATAACCTTATTAAATCCATTATTCAAAAATTACATGTGATATAATTGCAAATGATTAGCCATCTTATAATTATACTTTGCAAAGCAAATAATTATCCAGAGAACTGGTCACTTGAAGTTGGATGAGACTGACTGGAAATGTAGCCCCTAGCGCCACTTCTCCAAGGGGGGGTCCATGGGTCCCTGAGGGGTTGGAGAGTCTCTAAGATGCCTTACAGGGGTCCACAGGGTAAAAACTATTTTCACAACAATGCTAAAACAGGACTTGCTTTTGCACCATGTAGCCATTTGTACTAATTTGTGCAAAAGCAATGGTGGGTAAAACTGCTGCCATTTGAGCATGAATCAAAGGAGTGGCGCCAAACTATATTGGCAGTCACTGTAGTCTTCACCTCCACACACTCCTGGCTTTCAAAAAAGGGGAAATATCTTCTCTTTAAAATGTTGCCGGGGGCCGGCCCTGTGGCTGAGTGGTTAAGTTCGAGCGCTCCGCTTCTGCGGCCCAGGGTTTTGCTGGTTCGGATCCTAGGTGTGGACATGGCACCGCTCATCAGGCCATGCTGAGGCAGCGTCCCACAAAGCACAACCAGGAGAACCACAACTACAGTATACAACTATGTACTGGGGGGCTTTGGGGAGAAGAAGGGAAAAACAAAGTTTGGCAACAGATGTTAGCTTAGGTGCCGATCTTTAAAAAAAAAAATGTTGCCTATGAAGCAGAAAAGTTATTAATTGTATTAAATTAAATACATGATTTTTAAATAATTTCATCTGATGAAATGGGAAGTATGCATAAAGCACTTTTGCTGCATAACAAGATATGATGGTTGCCCTTGGGTGAGTGAGTTGAGAGCTAAATTAGTCAGTTTTTCATGGAACATCATTTTTATTGAAAAAGACTGGAAACAAACTATGGTCATTCAGAATTGGATATATGGCAGATATTTTATCTAAAATGAGTGAAGGGAGCTTGCTCTTTCAAAGAAAACAATAGCATTGCTTGGAAATCATAAAATTTGAGATTTCAAAGAAAAATTTAAATTTTGGAAAACTTATATCTTCTACTATAAATTTGACAGCTTCCTAATATTCAAAGACATTTCTAATGAGATACGTGGTACTAGCAACAAATATGTTTTTTTAATGTTGTATTATAAAATGTATCTACATGTGGAATATCTGCATAACTCATTGAACCGATATTTCCTAAGTGACCAGTGTATGATATATAAAATCATACCTGGGTAAAAGATCCATTCAAAGGACAAGATAGACCAATGCATTTTAATGTAAGAGGTGTAAAAATTTCATTGATATAATTTCAGAATCCACAATGCAGCTAATCAATCTTTAAGAAACTACCACTTGTCATGTTTTGGTATAGAATCTAAGAAGGCTATCTGAAGTTATCTAAAAAGGATATTAAAATGCTACTTCCTTTTCCAACTACACGTATGTTTAAGACCAGATTTTCTTCATATACTTCCACCAAAACAACATATCACAACACACTGAATGCAGAAGCAGAGACGAGAACCAAGCTGTCTTCTATTAAGCCAGAAATTAAAGAGATTTGCAAAATGATAAAAGGATGCCAATTTTCTCACTAATTGAGGTGTTGGAAAAAATATATATTTTTCATAAAAAATGTTATTTATGTTAACATGTAATGCGTTTATTATCTTGAATTAATAATTAAATGTTCTTTCAAATTTCTAAGTTTTAATTTCTAATATATAAATATTGACAGCTATAACTCACATAAACACAGGCTCTCTGAGTTCCTCAGTAATTTTAAGAGTGTAAAGCAGTCCTGAGAGCAAAAAATTGAGAATTTTTCTTCCAGAGAGTGAGTGTGACAAAGAAATTTGGCTGAGGACAGACGCAGGGGGATGCCAACATTTAGAGGTTTGGAAAGAGAAGACAGAGAAGGAACAGCCCTCAAAGGAGGGAGAAAACTGGAAGGATTTAGCATCCTGGAGGCCAAGTGAAGAAAGTGTTTCCAGAGGAGAAGTGACCAGCAGCCAAATGCTGCTAGAGGCACAGAAGTTGAGAGCTGAGAAAGACCAGTTGGTGTGCAGGGCAGTGATCATGGGGACACTTTGACCAGAAACGTTTCAGTGGGGTGGAGATGGAAGCTGGGTTGGAGAGCATAGTTTCAGGAGGTGATGAAGTAAATGCAGGTGAGCATAAACAACTCCTTTAACAAGTTTTACTATTAAAGGCAGCAGAGAAATGGGGTGGATAGCTGGTGGGGAACAAAGATCAGGGAGACATTGTTTTGTTTGGGGTTTTTTTTTGAGGAAGATTAGCCCTGAGCTAGCATCTGCTGCCAATCCTCCTCTTTTTGCTGAGGAAGACTGGCCCTGAGCTAACATCCATGCCTATCTTCCTCTACCTTATATGTGGGATGCCTACCCCAGCATGGTGTGCCAAGCGGTGCCATGTCTGCACCCGGGATCCAAACTGGGGAACCCCGGGCCGCCAAAGTGGAACATGCACACTTAACTGCTGAGCCAGCAGGCCGCCCCAGGGAGACAGTTTTAGATGAGAAATCCTACAGTATGCTTGTAGTGATAGGAAGATCCCAAAGAGAGAGAAAGGTGGATGAAAGAAGGAAGAAGATCTTAGAGAAGGCGAGGAGTGGAATGCAGGTGCTTGGAGGCAGTGCCCTTGGGCAGGAAGGACCATCTGTAGATACTGTGGCTCTGAGCCAAAGGACTCTTCCTGCCATGTACTGACAAGTCTCTCCATCTGCAGTGACTTCCCCTTGACCCTACTGACTTTTAAATTTGCATTTTTTAATTATTTACTCAAAACATGAAGGTATTTTCATTTTACAAAAAATACTGAGATATGTAAAGTAAGAAGTCAAAGCTCTCCCCCGATGTCACTCCCTTTCCCAGAAGAAAGCCTTGTTATCAGTTTTGTATGGTTTTGTCCAGACCCTTTATAAGAGATTGCATGTGTATATTTGTACATAAAAAATAAACCCTTTGTTGGGATTTTCCCATAAACGACATCATACTCTGCATAGCAGACTATAAATTAATGCTTTGCCCTAAGAATACTCCTTAAAGCACTTTCCATTCTTGTGCAGTTCTGCGTAGTATTTCATAGTATGGTTGTTTTATTCTCCTATTGATGGGCAGGCAACTTCATTCCAAATCCTCATTATTCCCAATAATGCTGTAGTGAAAATTCTATAGTTCTCATTAAAAATAAGTGTGAAGATTTCTGTAGAAAAAAATGCCAGATCAGAATGTATACATTTTTAATTTTTTATAATCCCTCCAAAAGGGATATACCACTTCATATTCCCACAAATAGTGTATGAGAATACTTGTTTCCCCACACCCTTGCCAATATTGGATATTTTCTGTCTTCTTAATTTTTTCCAATCTAACACAAATATTATATTGTTGTTTTGATGTGTAACCCCATGCTTACTAGTGAGTTTGAGCATCTTTTCATAGGCATCTACCCCCATATTTGTCTTATCTAGTTACCCTCCATTCAGCCTTCACCTCCCACCACTCACAGGTCAGTTCCTTAGACAGCCTCTTCACAGTAACCCCCATTTGATTGGGTGATTTCTCCTGTGCTCCTATTTTGTTCCTTCAATACCAATGTCACCTCACTTGTCATAACTGTCTACTCCTTGTCTCCCCACTCTACCCACCCCATACCAGACTCTAAGCCTCTCGGGGGCAGGAATCAGCCTTGACTTCGCTCCATAGCCCAAGCCCCTGGCACATTATGTGGCCCCACAATAAGTACTCAATAGAAGAATTACTGAAGAAGTTCATAATGAGATCACTTCACATTTGTTGAGTGCTTTATAATCTACAAACCTCCTTCCCTTGCATTTTCTCAGATTGCCTAAATCAAATCAGATTTGCAGGAATTAACATTTCCAGGAAAATGCTAGGGACAAGGGAGGAGGAGTATAAACAGCACAAATTGAATCACCAGCTGCATGACGTGATGTGGATAAAAATAAACCAGTGTAACTTAAGCTCTCGGACTTTTAGGTGTGCCCTATAATAAATGTTCTACAAGAAATTAGCAAAGTTCATTAAAATGTTAAAACAACTGCAAGTCAGCAAAGTGGAGAAAATAAATTTAAAGTAAAATTATCAATTCAGCAGCCAAGTAGAAAGAATAAAACAAAGCAGAGACCTGCTAACAAGCAAATTTGGTTGATAATAGGTAAATCAAGCCTCGATGTGAATTTTTGCCCAGAATAATATTTTTTTTGCAATCTAGATTGGTCAAAGTAAGTGAACAACCTCCAGATTTCTCTAGTAGAATTCTTGTAGC